AGTGACATTCTTGCAAATGAAAACTTGAAACGGTTCAAATAACAAAGGCACCTGAACTTGTTGGAAAATCAAAGAACTATTTTCAAAAGAAAAGACTGTCTTCTGGGTAATTGCTCCAAAGGACAACTGCACCCTAGACAATGGAAAGGGCAAATTTTTAAAAAGTTTTGCTTTTATTTCAATACCAAAGATACATTTCTAAAAGCTATTTTGAAGTTTATGGGATTATCCTGACTGGAAGCATTATCAAGATTCGACAGTCAGAATAGCAAATATTGTTCAAGACATTCGATAACTGTCATGTGTTTGAAATTTTGAGATGTATAGCTCATAATTTGCAATGTTAGTTGTATAATTATAGTGATAAAAAAATTTTATTATTGGATAATTCTTCTAGTGCATTTCTTATTGGAGAACAGATAAAATATGAAAATAAAACCTTAATTAGTTTTATTAGTATTTATTTCCCTCCCCCAAAGTTATGCCTTCTCTTACTTCTGTCCTCTTGATACAACTAAACAGATCTATCAGTGGAATTTCTGAGTAAATCCCAGATTCTTAATGAGATAAAGAGAAATTTTTCTCCATCTTTTTTAATGTCTCTCTTATAATTTTATCTGAATGCATTTGTTGAAAGTTTTGTTTCTATTTACTATTGTAAAGATAAAACCTATATATTATGTAATTTTGAGGTAAATACTATACATGTAAGTAAATAATGCAGTATATTTGTTGTTGTGATACATATTGAATAAAAATATCAAATTGCTTATTGCATTAAAAGAAAAAAGATGTCAAAAGCCTACAGTGAAAAAGAACTATTCTTCTGCCTACTGTGAATATAGTGAAGAGTACAGGAGAAAAACTGGTATATAAAAACAAAACCTGTCCCTGTTCATAATATAACAATGTCTTAGTAGATAGTGATATTGTAGAAGATTTAAAATTTCAGCTGTGAGATGAGGGTGTTAGTACTTTGAATTTGAACATGATGTCAGTGGATCATGAAGATATTTTATAAAGTTCAAATGGATCATAAAAATACTTGAAGATCCATGATGTTGGGAATGATTACAACAAATAACGACCCAGTCTATATTTAAAGTGTATATATTAGTAAATGACGTGTATCATGTTCCAACCTAAAGTCTCATGCAGTACATATTTACAGTAGATAACATTCCAGCCTAAAACCTTACGTAGGACCTTAATACAAGAGATAAAGTTCTAACAACATCCTGATCTACAATCTTATGTAGGCATGTACAAGCAAAACTTTCAAAATTGCTGTAACTATTGCAAACCTGCCTGTTAGGCATTAATAAAAAGATTAATACAAAAGTCTAATAACAATTTTTTTCAGTGTGGTATCCATTATTTTCCATTACAGCCTTGAAAAGATGCAGAACTCTTAATCATGAAGTCCTTGGGCATCCTGGGCCACTTCTTTTTGATGACGGCCTTGAGCGTATTGATGTTGCAGGTGTAGGTCTTGTTGATAACTTGCTTGAAAGTACCTCACAAAGTGTACACTAGTGGGCTCAGTTCCAGGCTGAAAACAGAGCTAGAAGTTTGCTGGTTACAAAATAAGCAAAGTTATTTAATTTTGCAGAACTATTATACATGCTGTGTGGCTGAGTAGACCTTCCTCACTTCACATACAGTTGTTTTCTGGGTAGTCAGCCACAAGTCATAGCAAAACATGGTACCTCAAGACATTGTAGTAGACATCAGTACCAGTATCTCAGTTTCAGAGATATTTTAAACTTGTTATTTGAGAGTGTTAAGCAGTATTGTCCATATTATTAATGTGGTAAAATTTAATCTCTCATAATTTATTACAGTGTGTGTTTTTAAAAATTAGTCACAATAGTTCTTGTTGTAAATATTACATACTTACATTTGTACTGTTAAAGGCAAGAGGAGGGAATGACTATACTAAAAGGCTAGACATGTCAAGTTTATACCAACATGACAATCTGAAGAATGAATCCCTTTATAAATAAAGCCATGGCATCCATCTTTAATTACAAAAATTTATCTACATGTAAATATTTTTAAAGGAGGCTTACACTGAAAAAGTTTGGACTCCTGAAAAAAAAAAAAAAAAAAAAAAAGGGAGAATAATTATCTATCTCATTAAATTTGTTCTGAAATTAATTGAATATTAATTTTTAAGTTTTAGTATTATCGGTCACTTGCTATAAATGAACATTAAATGGTTGACAACAGCATGATTTCAAGCACTGTTAGAAAATTATGAAAACAAATGATAGCCATAGCGTTATGCATATTATTTAAGAAATACTCTCATTTTTCAATCAAAAACATAGTTTCTAGCAATTAAAATAGTCTGTACATAATAATAATATCATTATAAATATATATCTTAAAAATCTTTGTCTTTTATAGAAGATTGTGTCCCTGCATTTGTAATACATTTATCATGACATTAATCAAATGACAAGAAGCATATAGCTGTCTGAAAAAAAAAAAAAAAAAAAAAAAAAAAAAACAGAGAAAATATCTTTTTAATATAATGAAATAGTATTCAGATTAAGTTTTGTTTTTTAGAATGATGTTCAGGAGACTTAGAGAATTGAATTGACAAGTTGTTTTAAACACTGTCTTATAAAATTTATATACACATCGGGGGGAAATAAGTATTCAATATGTATCACAACAACAAATATACTGCATTATTTACTTACATGTATAGTATTTACCTCAAAATTACATAATATATAGGTTTTATTTTTACAATAGTAAATAGAAACAAAACTTTCAACAAATGCATTCAGATAAAATTATAAGAGAGATATTAAAAAAGATGGAGAAAAGTATTCAAATACCCAACACAAATTAGAATCTAATACTTTGTTGACTAGCCTTTATTTGCAACATCAGAATCTATTTGATCCTCCAAGTAGCCATTACTTTCACTCTTGTGTTGGTATTTTGGACCACTCTTCATTCAAATTAGTAGACAGATGAGCATGCAGATGCTTCTCTATTTCCCACTACAAATTTTCAATCAAGTTCAGGTCAAAGGACTTACAATTACTCTAATAAGGCTAATATTTTTTTTTATTTTCAAACCGTTATTTGGATGCATTGGCAGTATGTTTAGGTTTATTATCCCATTGAAAGACCTAACTAAGCCTCATTTCTTAAAGCTTTGATTGATGTAAAGAGGTTTTTGTTCAGTATATTTGTGTACATGCTTCTATCTTTGATTAAGTGATGAAAACCGCCACATTGCTGCCTCCATACTTCACACTTGGGACAGTGTTCTGTGTTGAGCTTTTCATTCTTTGCCTTTCATACTTGATAACATGAATTGAGGCCAAATAAATATCTTTGTCTCCTCATATTATTTCAGTAGGTATCCAGCATATATAAATGTTCCCAAGAAAATTTCAGACATAGATCCACATGTGATTTCTTCAGAATCTTTCAAAGGGCATCACATTAAAAAACAAATCACTATGAAACTACATTTCTTCTACTGATGAATAGTTGAATCAATGGTGCAGGGATCAAGTTGTAGATCTTTACCAATGGTTTTATAACCTTTGTGATAAAGACTAAATGCAGTATCTCTGTGGCCAGTAGAAAATTTGGGGTTTTATAATTGCTAATGCAATAATGGTTAGCAGTCAGCTGATATACCAGAACATCATCTTCAAAATTTTAACTTAGAATGTTCGTGAATAAAACCTATAGCTGTTCTGAATCAACTATTGAGAAATGTATGTTCTCCAGTGGTATTGCTCTTTTTTGAATGGGTATTGAAAACTATTTGTTTTGCTTCATCTTTTTTCTTTTATATATATATATATATATATATATATAAAAAAGCTAGAAAATATTTATTACACTTCTATGTATCTGATGGCCAAACAAATGCCTGAGGTGATTAAAAATTAGTCTATAAACGTAACTTGACTAGAATGAACATGAGATAAGCTGTGATGTTCTGAGGACACCACAGTTCAAAACTACTACTGCTGGCCAAACTGCAAAAAGGGACATCTTTTTTACATGACATCACACCAACCAGAAATGTAGACATCTATATCAACATTTTAAAAATTACCAGTGAAAGCTCTGGTGGCCACATGAATAGCAGTATAGAAAATGGAACTGGTGAACGAGTTCAAACTCTGATTGAAATATTGTTTTCTTTGCATAAATGACTTTAGGAAAGACGAAGAGGAACAACTAACAAATAAAAGTTCTTCACTAAAAAGAATTCACATATAAATTAGGAAACTATTTTGAAAAAAATGGTTGTCCCTGAAATTGTTTTTAAGAATAGAAATTCATTTTAGATCCGATTTTTATATTTGTTGTTCAAATTCACAATTTAGAGCAAACTATAAAAAGCCCTAAAAAAACTCAGTCCATTTACAAGTGCCATTTTTATTTGTCTAGAAGACACAATATGATAAAATATTTTTACATTAAACATGTACCATACTTGTTGTAACTCACTTGGTCTTTCAAGAGTTTATAGCTTCAAATGCAGGTAAAAATACATTATGCAAATTTAAACAAACAAAAATATTCTTACTTTTGTGTTTGTTGTGGTGCAATAAAAAAGCCTCAAGAAACCATAAATAGTAATAACAAATTTTAAAGAGATTTGTTAATACAAAATAAACAGACATTTTGCAAAGATTAATAGTCATTTCTTAATGACAGCTTTTTTTCATTTTACTTATAAAATTTAAACTAATTTTCCAAAAATACATCAACTCAAAATTATGTCTGGGAAGCGATGTTCACAAAAGTAAGTCATGATAATGAGAAAGATATTTAACTATTTTTTTTATGTAATTTTAAGAAAGTGTGATTTTACCGCTATCAAAGATTTTATGTTATAAAACAGATACTGTACGACAGGAAGATGTTACTCTGGAATGTTAAAAACATAGTCAAAAGGTGTCATCATCCCTGCTGCCAACTTAAAAATAAGTTAGGACTATTTAACTTACCTGCAATCCTTGTTCATCGTTGTATTCCAAATCGAAATAATCCGCTTCTACAAGTTCTAGAGACTTGATAACATCTTCCCATAGTACACTTCCCATTGCTTTGGCCTGCAATAAAACAAATATTATTTCAAAGAACAGGAAATCAATTTTTATATGGTTTTTATGACAAAATGAATATAGAACAAAAACTGAATAAAATGCTGATTTTTCAAAATGTTTGACCCTTATATTTTACATGTTTTCAGTTCTCTTTTGTCCAAAGACATAATTTATAATTGTAAATTCTAAGGGTAAAGAGTGATTTCAATTAGTGTTCTCTATTAAGAATCACTTTCAGGATTTTCCTAAACAGCTAATGTCTATACAAAAAGTGATCCAAATTACTAGTAAAAACACACACAAAAAAATGCATCTCCAAAATACAATACTAGTTTCTTTAATCAAGAAAGGAGTCAAAAAAAGAAAGAAAAAAAGAAAGAAAAAAAAAGAAAAAAAAAAAGAGCAGACTTTCTTTTCAAGATACTCTTTTTTATATAAATGTGTGTGTGTGTGTGTGTATACATATGCAAGCACTGAATAACTATCAGCCAGAAGCAATACACAAGAAAAAGAGAGGAAAAGTTAGTAAAATATTAACATTTGCAACCAATTCTTTTTCTATTTGGTTGGAATAAAAGTTCATAGCATTTTTCACTATTTTGTTTCACACATAACTGAAATTTATGCCATTTGTACATATATTTGATAGGTTTGCAGTTATTGATGATGACCAAATGGAAATGTTGATTAAAAATAATCCAGAGTCACATGACATAGGAGAACACAGAGATATTCCACATATCACATATGAGTGTCATACAGTATTTGGAAACAACAAAAACATCCCATTTTTTAAAAGAATTATCCCAGGCAATGAAAAAAAACTTGTTTATAACAATGTAGAGTGAAAAAAGTTCTGAGAAAATGAGATGAGCCATCATTAACCACTGCAAAAGCAACGCTGCATCTGAAGAAGGCAATGCCGTGTATCTGGCAGGACTGGAAACTCCTGCAAAATCAAACGTTCAATTCAGATATGTACTCTTCCTAACTGGACTGATTAAAGGCAGTAACCAATAGAAAGCATCCAGAACTGACCAACAGAAAGGGTGTCATCTTCCATCAGGACAACACCAGACTTTGCATCTCTTTGCAGAAATTGGTACAGCTTGGCTGGGTGGATGCCCTACTACAACCATTGTACCCACCTGACCTTGCACTTTAGAATTACCAATTATTTTGACCTCTACAAAATTATTTTAATGGGAAGCCTCTGGAAGCCCGTAAAAAACACTTGGACCATTTCATCACCCAGAAAGATGCTGAATTATGCGGTAAAGAATCATGAAGCTTCTCAAAGATGGTAAAAAGTAGTGAAATAAAAAGGTACATATGTGATTGAATAAATCTATATATAAGTATCTAAATACACTCTGAAATTCACTTAAGAAATGCTGTAAATTTTTGTTACAAGCTAATATGTTACTTATGTCAGAGTGACATACAGTGTAATCTTTCCACCCACCCATGTTCTTAATTATTTAGAGAAGTACTCTTCTCTCATGGTATCAGCTGAGATCTTTGCAGACAAGACTTGCCAGCGTCACAGGGTTGAATCAACTTCATTCCCTATGTATTCCTTTGGTAAGCAAGATGTTCCACTCAGAAAGCCTTTTCCCAAGAACCACTACTACACTGTGGAACCAACTCTCACATGGATGCTTGTCTGAACACTACACAATCTCTTCAAGTCTTGGGCCAGTCATTATGAATCTTCTATATTCTCATAATTTTCACTTCCTACATCCCCCCTTTAGAATTTCACATTTTCTAGATATCTAATAATAGGGAAATCATTATTGGGAATAAGAAAATATACTTTTGGAAATCACAGTATACTGCTTTTCAAACTATTGGTCTCGTCTTTAGTTGTCATAGACAACATTTCAGCTAAATACCTTCTAGCCATCTTTGGGTATGCAATATTTTTAGCTAATCAGGGATATATGCCAAATAAAGAAAAAAAAAAATTTAAATTATTTTAAATTATTGAAGAAGAACTATGACTACAACTACTAAAAAATATCATTAATATGCTGAAAAAAATTTGAATTTAATAATTAAAAAATAAGACAAAGAATAAAATCTATGAATAATTTATAGATCAATGACATATTAAGAGATTAATTCTTAGATTAGTTATTCATTATAACTAATGACTATTTTAGATTTGGCAAATAGTGTTTTGCTAGCGAGAAGAAATAAACAAATATGCTAAAGTCTAAGTTCAAAAGTTTATACAATGGAGCAATAACCATTTTATTATATTTTACTGATCACTGAATTCTTCAAAAATTTCTAAACTTATCAAATTTAGAAACAATATGCAGAAAGTATTGTTGCAGAAATACAAAAATTATGAACACTAAAACAAAATTCAGATGTTTTATCAATAGATTTTTTCTCGTGTTGAAAAAATATTCTATAAAACAATATTGTAAAAAAAAAAAAAAAAAAAAAAATGAAGTTTGCCTTTTTTAATATAGCAACAAGCAAGTAAATAAATATGCCTTTAAACTTTTAAACATTCAATTTGTACCAATTTTAATAAATTCTAAACAAGTCCCTAAAAATATGAAGTAGTCCTCTCTTCTCTCTTCAATCAATTTTAGGTGTTAACATCTGTTGATAAAGCTGAAAGTTTCACCTGTAAGTTCTCCTTAAACTCTACTCTTGGCTCATTGGAGTATCCCTGTCTAACTTTCCTCTCAGAACTGAATCTCTGTTGAATGATATGCATATAACCCCTTCTATGGTTTCTTCTATCATCTCTAACCTAGATCCTTACAAAGCATGTGAACTTGATGGTATCCCTGTAATAGTCATTAAGAAATGTGCTCCCAAACTGGCTCCTGTTCTCTCTAAACTTTATAATAAATGCCTTGCTGTCTCTTGCTTTCCTGCCTGCTGGAAGTCCTCATCTGTTGTTCCAGTTTTTATGAATGTGAGTGAACCGCCTGACCTTTCTATCGGCCTATTAAAATTCTATCGCTTTTTGGTAAACTTCTAGAGGCCCTAATCAATGCTGAATTGGTTAAGCATCTCACATTGCAGGGCCTTTTTTCAGACAAGTAATATAGCTTTTGTTTCTCCAGGTTAACTGCTGATATACTAACAATAACTGTGGAAAGAGTCTATCAACCTCTAGATAAGAATGGTGAAGCCCAGGCTGTAGCTTTGGACATCTTGAAAGTTTTTGACAGGGTTTGGCATACAGGTCTTCACAAGTGGAAAAATTACTGTCTCCGGATAAATCTTTGGACTGATCCAGTCTTTCTTATCAAATCATGAAATGAAAGTTATCCTGAATAGCTACTCTTCCAGATTCTCTTGTTATAATGCAGATGTCCCCCAGGGCTCCATCCTCGGTCCAACTTTGTTTTTAATTTTCATTAATGACCTTCCCAATGATATCAACTCTCAACTTGAAATTGAACACTGATGAGACAACCATTCACTCCTGTCTCAATAGTAAGTCTGATCAATTTGATAAGGTCTAAATGGCAGCTGATATCCAAAACGACCTTTAGTTTGTTGTTAACTGAGGCAAAGGATTGCTTGTTAATTTTAATGTTTCCAAAACTAAACTGCTCTCTATTAATGATCTGCCCTCCAACATGGTTGATGTTGACCTCCAGGAGAGCAACTTGTTGCATGTTCTTGGACTAACGTTTTCCTATTTGCCTATACTTGCTGTCACATATACTCTGGTGCTTCTGCTATTTATCTAGAGCTCCTTATTAAAATGCAAAGAAGAATCAGCAATATTATTGGTCCTGATATGGTGTCTCAGTTTCAGTCACTTTCCTGCCACTGTAAGGTTGCCTCTATGTACCTTTTTTTATAAATACTTTTATGGTAACTGTTTGGATGAGCTCTTTGCTATAGTACTTAGACTTTTTTCATTTAAGTGCAGTACTAGACTGGCAATGAGGTCTCATCAATTTACAGTTGAGTTGGCTAGATGTAACTGTAAATTCTGTGCTAACACTTTCTCGCACATCTCACTTGTGGAATTTCAAAAAATTTAAATACAATGTCAATTGCTATCTACTGTCCTCCTGATTACTCTTCTTTTGTTCTTGCTCCTTAGTAATGTTTCTGTTTCTAATTCTCCCACACCCTTGTGCCATAGTATTTTTACTGCCTTGCTTGGGGTGAACTAAAAGAAAAAAAAGTGTAATTAAAAGAAAATATCTGGACCTAAAATTTATGATCATTACTACAAGATGTGTAAAAGAACAGAGTTTCTACTCATAATTAAGCATTAGATTAAATTTAAGAAATCTTGTGAAACTTGTAACAATCACAAGTGTAAGGTTAGAAAAGCTCATTTCCTGTAATCTGTCAAAGAACAAAAGGGAAGGACAGTGTTCTTTATGATTTGCATTCATTTCATATTGAATAATTACATAATATCATCAAGAATAATATCTACATAAAGTTCAACCTCTAGAAAGAGATGCACCAAACTGAGAATACTTACAGCTGAATTAAAAAATTTCCAAAGTGAACTTGCATAAATTCTAGTTTTATATGAATGAAACAGTAAAAATTGTTCACATGGAAATATTCATATAAAAAATGAGTGCTGGCAGAAATAAAAAGGAAGCAATTCATGAAACTGAAACTTATCACAAAATTTATTTTGACAATTTCAAATCTTCAAAGAAAATGGAGTAAAGCAAGAACAGCAGTAGACAGTGGTGTGTATATAAAATAATCCTTTGAATATAACATGTGTAATTGATAAAATGAGAAGTCAGCAGTTAGAGCAGGCAGGAAATATTAACTGCTTACTGAGGCAAAAAAAAACTAGAAAAAAAGAAGATAAAAAGTTAATAGGATTCTAATCAGACTGTTATTCAAAAAAGAAGATTATCATATGCACATTGGTGAGTAACGGCAACTAATTAGGAGAGCAGTTTTAGCACTTCATTATCAGTGATCCATATAAGAAAAGATAGAATGAAAAACAATTGTTTGGAAGGTTCACAACCCAAGAA